TCCCCCTGTAGCCATGTGACCACAAGAGAAAAATTTAAATACTTGTATTTTCCTTTTTAGTATTAGGCATGACCATCATTTTCTTGGAACATCCTGATTATGTCCCTGTGACACCATTTGTCTTCCAGTGAGGACCTCCTGTGTGTGTGCCCCAACCTGTTCCTGTCACTGCCCTATTTGAGGTTGCTCCATGGATGTCATTTGTTGTTTACCTTCTCCACCTTCCTGTTTATTTTGAGAAGTTTCACAGGCTTCAAACAATTTTCTTTTGAAAACGTGAACAGGTCATGATCCAGAAAAACCATCATATTTTCAACTGGAGGGACCAAATTGTATTCTGGGGACTGTTCCTTCCATTACCCCCCTGACATTTTGGGGCTACTCTGTTCTGATTGTACCAGGACTGGTAAATGAAGAGCCAGCCTAGATTCCCTGCAGCATTAGGACTGTAATTCTCTCTTCATAAACCCCTTTGACACATTGCCTTAAACTCTTTAGGCTCTGTAAGATTTGCCTTTGTTTCATTTAATCTGTTAGACTTGTCTGCATTTTATAAAGATGAAGATTAAAAAGCAATAATAGCAATAGCAGTATCTAACATTAATTTACTTTATCTGCACAACCTTAATGAGGTACTTCTTGAGCCTCTGATCAGGCAGATTTTTATGAAGTTACACAGATTGTATCATTTATATGTAAATCCTTAGGACACTTAAAATCTTTTCTGTTTAAAAAAGATTTACTTATGTGTATGAATGTTCTGCCTATGTGCACGTAAGTAGTGCACCACATATATGCTTGGTGCCTGTCAAGGTCAGAAGAAGGCATCAGATCCCCCGGGAATGGAGATACACATGATCGTAAGCCACTGTGTGGTGCTGGACCCTGAACTTCCTCTGCTAGAGCCACAAGTGCTCTTAACCACTGAGCCAGTTCTCCAGCCCCTTCTCTCTAAATTTCATTTTTTAAATAAGCTAGCAATAGAGATCTGACACTGAATGATAGTCTTCTTTCAGAAATGAAAGTGTATTAACTTTTGTCCTTCCTTCTTCCTTAGTGACCACTTGTACTGCTGCAGTTGCTGGTCTGATGCCGAGAGGTCATGTTAGTGGTGGAGACTCAAACACGGTCATAACAGAGCCACTGCTGTGCTCTAATTCTAAAGTTAGCTCAAATCAAACAAAATTAGACCAGTCTTCTCTCTTTCTAAATGTCAGAGTGGCTTTTTACACACGCCGCTCTGACAGGACCACAGTCTGCATCAGGTCTTCTCTGAATTCACGGGCTAGTGGCAGCGGGCTTGATTCTAGAGCATGCATTCTTAGCAGTCCTGAAAATCATCTAGGACATGGCTGGGTTTTTTGTTTTTGTTTTGTCAAAACAAAGAATAAGAAAAGAAAAAAAAAAGAACCAGCAATGAGAGCGAAGAGTTTACTGGCCTGGCCCTCATACACTCAGATTATATCCTGATAGGTTCATATTTTGTCACCATGGCTCAGAGCCACGCCTGCACATTAGTGGCTTAGACCAGATTCTCTCCAAGGTTTCAACTTTTTCAAATTATATATGTTCCGTATAAGAAATACCAGTATTTTATTTCAGATTTTTACATAATAGCTGTCTGTGCCAGACATCTTGTAGTTTTGTATATTTTTTATGTGTGTATAATTTATGTGCATTGGGGTTTTCCTGTATATATATATGTGTGTATATATATATATATATATATATATACACACACACACATACACACACACACATATATATATATATATATGCCTTTGTGAGGGTGCCTCTATTTATAATGTGAATTTTGGCTAGAAGTCTTTTTTGTTGTTGTTACTACATTTTTCTAATATATGTTCACCAAGAATATTGGTCTGAGAGCCGGGCGGTGGTGGCGCATGCCTTTAATCCCAGCACTCGGGAGGCAGAGGCAGGCGGATCTCTGTGAGTTCGAGGCCAGCCTGGTCTACAAGAGCTAGTTCCAGGACAGGCTCCAAAACCACAGAGAAACCCTGTCTCGAAAAAATCAAAAAAAAAAAAATATTGGTCTGTAACTCTTTATTTTTTCCCTATTGCATCTTTACCTCACTTTTCAATCTGACTTTGTAGAAAGAGTTTGGGGTGCTCCTTCTGTTTCTGTTTATTTGCATTCTGTGAAGATTGGCTGTAGATCTCTGAAAGTCTGATAGAAATCTACTGTCGGTCCATCTGGACCCGGGCTTTGACTCTCCTGTCATGGTCTATATGGATTGCTGCCCTCCTCTTGGTTTAACTTTAGTGGTTTGGATGAACTTAGTAATTGGTCTGTTTCTTTTAGATTTTCCAATTTCATGGAGTATATGTTTTGTTTTTGTTTTTGAGAGAGTCTCATTGTATATCCCTGACTGGTCTGGAAGTCTCTGGAGACTCAGAGATCTGCCTGCTGAGTTCTGGGATTAAAGGAGTGTACCACCATGCCCAACTGGGTTATAACTCTTATAGCTCCATTCTTCACCACAGGCAAATGATCAGTCTTGGGCTGTGAGGTAGCTGTGGTGTTGTGGCCCAAGGAGTTAGGCAGTGCTACTTGCCTGGTCTACAGAATGAGGCCAGTGATTCTTGCCTCTTTGAGATTCAAATGAGAAGTATAAATTAAAAGTTTTTGAAAGTTTTACGTCTGAATCATATATTTAAAAAACATTATTATAACTAAATGGCTAAAGAGCTCCGACTCCTGAGTTAAGCTTTTCTGATAAGAAGAGACATTTTTTTTTTCTAGGAAGATGATTTGGAGGTTAGTCTCCAGGAGCATTTCTCAGGCCAGCTGCATTTGTGCATCTCTTTGGCTTTGTTTTGTGAGTTGTATCAAGGAGGTGATGTCAGGAATCATCTAAGGTAGAGGAAGGATTGTAGTACCAGAAGGTTTAAGGACAGCATAAGAGAACCCACTGAATCAATTAACCCAGGCTCATAGAGGCTCAGAGAGACTGAACTGACAACCAGGGAACCTGCATCGGCCTGACCTAGGCCCTCTGCATATATATTACAGTTGCATAGCTTGGTTGTCTTGTAGGACTCCTAACAATGGGAAAAGGGGCTCTTTCTGACTTTGCTGGCTGTGTTTTGCGACCCCACTCCTTACACTGGGCTCCCTTGTCCAGCCTTAATATGAGGAGAGGTGCTTAGTCTTTTTTTCCCATTTATTTATTTATTTTTAATTAAAAATGTCCACCTCCTCCCATTTCCCTCCTTCCCCATCCCCTCCCCGTCCCTCTCCAGTCCAAAGAGTAGTCTTATTGAAACTTAATATGCCATGTTCGGTTATATCCATGGGAGGCCTGCTGTTTCCTGAATAGAAAGAGGAGTAGGTGGGGGGAGGGCTTGGAGAAGAGGGAGGGGAAACTGCAGTCTGTATGTAAAGTAATATCATTAAAATAAAAAAGAAATAGGTAGGAGGCTGAAGAGGTTTTTTTTTTTTTTTTTTAGTGGTTGGGAGTGCTGGCTGTCTTCCAGAGGTCCTGAGTTCAATTCCCAGCACCCACATGGCAGTTTACAACTGTCTATAACTCCTGTTCCAGGGGCTCTGACACCCTCACACAGACATACTGGAGAACACCAATGTACATAAAATACAAATAAAAACTATTTTTAAGGGCTGGAGAGATGGCTCAGTGGTTAAGAGCATTGCCTGCTCTTCCAAAGGCCCTGAGTTCAATTCCCAGCAACCACATGGTGTCTCATAACCATCTGTAATGAGGTTTGGTGCCCTCTTCTGGCCTGAAGGCAGACACATAGAAAGAATATTGTATACATAATAAATAAATATTAAAAAAAATATTTTTAAAAGAAAGGAATAGGTTAAGATTTATATGTGGCTCTCTGTAATGAGGCAATATATGTTGAATTTGTAGAACTAAAAACAATAACAAAAATAAACAACTGATTTCATATTTCTTGGAGGTGAAAGAGCTGTTAAAGATAGACCCGTTATGGATAGTGCCTCACTGAACATCTAGCCGGACATTTCAGTGGTATCCCCATCCCATGTGAAAATAATTCCTAGCCATTTCAGGGTATAGCGAACTCTTCCAAGAAACCGTGAGTCCTACTCAGTTCCAGCAGCCTCAGTAAGATCCCAGAGGTGGTCTTGCTCTGCCCTGTAGCTCTCCTCTCCACAGGGCAGCGTATCAGGCTCTCACATAGGTTAGGGAAGAGGACTTCAGCCCCAGGCAGTAACTGGAGAATTAAAAGTGGCAAGAATGCCCTTGAGAATTAATGTCCAAAACCATAACATACATGACAGAGAACTATAAATATCATTCATGTTGAAGAGAAGTGGTATAAAAGATAAGCTAAATAAATGTCTTTAACCATAGCTGAGGAAATGGAGGAGAGAAATAAATTCCTAAAGTGAGTGTGTAGGGGCTGGAGAGATGGCTCAGAGGTTAAGAGCATTGACTGCTCTTCCAAAGGTCCTGAGTTCAATTCCCAGCAACCACATGTGGCTCACAACCATCTGTAATGAGGCCTGGTGCCATCTTCTGGCCTGCATGCATACACACAGACAGGATATTGTATACATGATAAATAAATAAATAAATAAATAAATAAATAAATAAATAAATAAATAAATTTAGAAAAATAAAGTGACTGGGTGTGATAACCCATACCTATAATCTTAGCACTTGGGAGCTGAGTGAGTTCAGCCCAGCCTGGGCTATAAAGTGAGACCTGGCTCAAAACAAAACCCTAAGACAGAATGTATTATAGCTATTTTATTGTAAAATATTTGCTGATCTCCTATGTTAACTAGCTTTTGAGGACTTACTGTTTCCTGCCCTGTTTCCTAGGGGTAAAGTAGCCTGAGACCTAGGTAGTTGTTTATGGTGAGAGTAGAAACCAACAGTCACCCAGAAGTCCTGTGAAACAGATGCGCAAAATAAGACACTTAAGAATCACAACACACTTCCTTTGCACCCTCCCTTTGATTCACTCTGAAAACATCTCTCTTTCAGGCATCTGAAGTTGAGAAACAGCTCTCCATGCAGGTCCATGCACTCAGAGAAGACTTTCGGGAGAAAAATTCATCCACCAACCAGCACATCATCCGCCTGGAGAGCCTTCAGGCCGAGGTGAGGCTTTGGTGTGGGCCACACTTGAAGCTGTGCACTGGATTTTTGGATAAAGAGTCTCTGAGCTAGGGAATAAACCCCCTGCTCTCTATAAAAAGTACTGAAGCATCTAAGAAACATTTCTGTGAGAGCTTGAGAACACTTGATCCTTGCTCTTGTGGGTAGCCTGTTGTCTGGAAAAATAAAGATGTGGAGAGTTATATCTGAGGGAGTTGAAACCATGAATGATGTACTTTTTACTGAATAATCTTGACAAGAAATACCCTCGCTAACTACACACAAAAACTGGGGAAGGACACCGTTCCCTTCTTCATTCCTCTTATTCTAGCTCAGTACATCACCGTGTTTAAGGTATCATACAAAATACTCCCATTACTAACACACCAAAAAGCCCCACAATGTAGAACAAAAACTTGTATTTTATAGTAGAGGATAACAGCAGATGCTGCTAAGGAGTTAATAATGAGAGCATTTTGTATGATTCCTGAAATGTGGTGATATAGCATATGTGAGGCCAGAATATGGCAGCAAGGGTCCGTGCCCCTGGCTCAAGCAGGGGAAGAGGAATGTAGCTTTAGCGCTTGGGGACTGTGGTACAAGCAGCATGGGTGCCGCAGAGAAAGTGAGAGTCAAACCAGCAGAAAGGGGCTCTCCCAGGGCAAACTCCCATCTGGTTCACTCTCAGGACCTTCATCCCCTTTGACCAACCAGACTCTGAGAAACAGTGTAGAGCCTGACAGAAGGAGTCCCTCTTCTGTGGTCAGGGGATCAAACACTGTAATCAGTCCAGAGAACCCTCCCTGCATCGTAAGTGACCTGAGGATGTTTTCTTAAAGTCTGTCAATATCTTCTCTTTTCTGCCTCCAATCCCCTTCTTTCCTCCTTTCCCTTGGGATTCCTACCGATACTGAGCAGCAGGTTCTTGAAGTAAGTAGAGATTGCTCCAGTGGGGTCTTGGCATGCCTGTCTGTGACCATTTGTGTGCATGACTTGCCATTCTACTGCCCCTGCCAGGCTCCCACTCCTTCAAGTTGCCTGCCTTCCTGTTTGTTCCACCTGTTCACTTTCTCTAGCCCCTCAGGAACAAGTTTCTCAGGAATGTTGATTGCCAGGGTTTGTCACCAGTTTTAGGGTATGTAGGGGTTGAGTGAAGAAGTTGACAACCCAATACCACACCCTGGCTTCATCTAGTGACACTGCTGTTTGAAAGGCTAGGCTGTGAAATCTTTCATTTTAATTAAGTGACTTCATGAAACCTTGAAAATTAAGTGTTTCTTAAGGGCCAGTTATTTATCAGAATCTTATTACCTCATTACTTTACTGGAAACCTGGGAAACAAAGATGATCCATCTGAAGGAGAATTGAAAGGTCAGAGGGCACATAAATAAAAATGAACCAGAGTGAAAATTCCCTTTGTATGGGTAAGTCTGCTTCAGAGAGAGGAATAGTGGGCCATTCACCAAAGACTTGCCCCTCTTGGTCTCTAACCCAGGTGCACACTTGAGAGACAATATTTTTTTGTTTGGACAGACACCCGATCTCTCTGGACAAAGGCCATATACCTCACTTCCCCAGGACAGCATCCTATCTGATTGTTTGATGGCCAGGGAGGATTTGTGCTCTGAGCAAAACTCTAATGCAGAGTGGGAGCAGCCAAGAGGTGGAGGTAGGGCCCGGGGACCTAGAACAGTCACTTACTTAATTCTTCCTCTAGAAAAGTACTAAGTTCAGTCTCCAGAACTTAGACAAGGAAGAGCCTTAAGGCATTCTCCAGACTAGAGCACAGGGAAGGGAAACATCTTGACAATGGCAGGAAAGTCTGTACAAGCATGCAGTTGGGTGAGAAATAAATACAACGGGGAATTAATAGATGGCAGGAGCAGGGTCAGGAGGATCTTAGGACTTCCGAGTCCTTCCCTTCCCCCAAAGCTAGGACTACTTGGGAAAGCTTTCTGGAGCCCCTGGGCATGGTGGTGCCCTGGTAAGGTATTTCTGGCCTTGAGGAGCAATGATTGAGCTGCTTCTCTGAAACACGGAAACCAAAGAAGACTGGGCATCTCTTTCCTCAGCTTTCTCCCTGACACCGAAGAGAGCGCACAGGCCTTACAAAGAAATGCATGTGTCTTGACACTGACTTCAGTGTGCAAAAAAACCAGCCTTTTCCATAAGGGAGATCTTTGCTTCTTTTCACAGATTATTTATTCAAATTACCCATGAAGCCACTGTCTCATTCCTTTCCTGGGCGTGGGCCGATGTAGACACTCTACTGACTGTAACCTGCTAGCTTCTTGTTAGCCAGGTTCCTGGGTCTGAGCTGGGATGTTGGCACCAGGGGAATCAACAGTAGGGAGAGGAGGCAGTGAGCCTGCTTGCAAAAACACAGCACCTCTTAGAGAACTTCCTGGTGCTTATGCCTTGAAGAGTAGGCAGATCAGACCCTACTCTGCCAAAGGAGGGCCGAGGGCAGACAGGGTGGGGCCTTCTCCGACTTATCTCTGGAATTCACAGAGCACTAACTATCCTTCCTCTGCCTGGCAGCCCACTTGCTGGCTTCCCCTGGGCTAACTCCTACTCCTTCCCAGGCAACTTTCTAAAGGGGAGGGCCTTTCCCTTCAGCCCAGGATCACACAGCTCTGTTCTCCAAGACGAGCACCACACCTCTGGGCACAGAACGCAGAGATACATACCTTCATGTTTTGGGCTAGTCCCTCCTCCTATACTCAACCAGATAGAACTCCACACCACCCTGTGATTCTCCATCTTTTCAGATCAAGATGCTGTCGGATCGAAAACGGGAGTTGGAGCATCGGCTCAGCACCACTTTAGAGGAGAACGACCTGCTTCAAGGGACTGTAGAGGAGCTACAGGACCGAGTGCTGATCCTAGAAAGGCAGAGCCATGACAAAGACCTGCAGGTACCGCACAGAGATTCTATCCCATAGAGCTAGGGCTAGACAGTGGGAGCACTTAATCAAACAGGAAAGGCCATGAGGCCAACACCACTGCTGCTGTCCAGGTGGGTGACTGAGATCTCCACATGGGTCTTGTAATTCCCCAGGGGATTCTACCATGCCTATATCTGGGTAAGTATATTGTCCTCAGATCATCCCTTCTATGCGTTCTGAGCCACTGGTCCTTGGAGCAGTGTCATACAGTTCTTTCTAGGCTGTTAATGGCTGGAACACCCTAGCATTTGTGCAGTCTGCCAGCCTGTGGAGCTCTGTACTCAACTCCCGGTGCGGTGCTCTCTGCCGCTGCTGTTGCCCAGCAGAGGGATTTAGTTGCCTAGCACATAGCAGAAACCAAGAGCCTTCCCACAGAACTCAGCAAGACATACTCAGCTTCTGCTGATGGCTAGAAAAGGCACCAGCTACCACTTTGTGAACCTGATTGATCATTTTTAATCTCCCTAAGGGAAACTGCTTCTTAATCATATTTGCCCTTGTTTGGGAACTGCCACCAGGCCTCAAATGGAAATCCAAGATCAGACTTGACAAGAAATAACCTCAAAACAGAAAAATAATCTCCCAGTCTCCCCAGCAATAGAGGGTAGCATCTGTTCCCAGGTGCTTTGCTGAGCTGGGCCTACAGAGTAGGAGAACATCATTTCCCTCTGGGCATGGTGGGGGAGGGTACAGTGGGTTGTTTTGGTATCACTTGTGGGGAAGTGGTTGGGCAGGTAATACTTAAATGCTAGGTAAGTCCCTACCCAAAGACCAGGCCACAGAGGCCCCACTGGGTTCAGAGGGAAGCTTATTTAGAAGTTCTGATGTGGGATGACATTTTAACTGAAACCAAACATGGTGGTACACGCCTATGATCTTAGCACTTGGGAGGCTGAGTCGGGAGGAATAAGAGTTCAGAGTTTATCTGGACTGTGTAACAAGTTCCAGGCCAAGCTAGACTGTATAGAAACTGTCTCAGACAATAAAAGGAAACACCTTGTCTGGTGTCTAGTAAGAACACTTGTTGCTGCCCCTAAGCAGTTTGCCTCTTTGAGGGACATTTATTAGATCTCCCGACCCCCTGTGATTTTTGTTCAACTAATAACTTTCCATAGAGTAGGGCCTCAAAAATGCTAAATAGAAAATGGGGCTGGGGTGTGGCTCTGTAGTAGGGAGTTTGGGCAGCAAACAGACCTGGTTTCAACCCCCAGCAGCACAGAATGGAAGAGGGGAGGGAAGGGAGAACATGGAGCTGGTTCTAATGCCTCACAGCAGGTTTTGAAATGGAAAGGAATGTGTATAGGAATAAGAGCAAGTGTAGGTCACTTTCTAGTGAATGGAGAGCTTTCATATACTTTCTCTCAAGCTTACAGAAAACAAATCACTTATCCAAAGTCACAGACCAAGTCCTTGATAGACTTGAAGCCGCCTCTGACCAGCCCCCGTAGAACTGATTTGCTGCTGTGCATTTGTCCTTGCAGTCCGTGTTAGACCAGCTCTTGGGGCCACATGAAGCCCTCTGCTGTTAACAGATAGAACACAGAGAGGAAAAGAAGTACAAAACCCAGAGATAGCCGAAAAGAAATGTGCATGCCCACTGCCTAACAGGGAACCTGGAAATGGAGGGAAAGAAGCAGGACTAGGGTGGACTTCCAAGTACTACCTGGTGTAGGTGGAGTGTGTGTCCTGTAGCATCAGGAACCTGAAGTCATGCCTGCGAATGGACATTCAAAAGAAAGAAAGAGGTCATACAAGACCCCCTAGCAAATCAGAACATTTCCACCCTTTTTGGAGGATCATATTCATTCTTCCCCTTTCCTACTTGTGTAACTTTCTTTTTTTAATTAATTAATTTATTTATTTTTTTTATTATGTATACAGTGTTCTGTCTGCATTTATCCCTGCAAGTCAGAAGAGGACGCCATATCTTATTATAGATGGTTATGAACCACCATGTGGTTGCTGGGAACTGAACTCAGGACCTCCAGAAGAGCAGCCAGTGCTCTTAACCTCTGAGCCATCTCTCCAGCCCCTGTGTAACTATTTCTGTCTGTGCCTTCTGTGTATGTAAAATCTTAAGTTGCCACTAGTTACTAGTTTCCTCCAGAAAGCCCTGTCACCAAAATGACAAAAAAAAATCCAGTTGACCCAGGTAGCACTGGAACAGTCCTAACCCAGATTTGTAAAATGTTGAGTCAGTGGCCTTGGAATGTGTTTAATCCCTGATTTTAAATCCTCAGATAAGGCCGGGTAGGAGGCTGAGCAGTAAGGCAAAGCCTCCATCATCGGGGCACCCCTTTGATCTCTTTGGCTGTATGACTGGAGTCCTGCTGTCAGAAACGTGCGTGTGTGTGTGTGTGTGTGTGTGTGTGTGTGTGTGTGTGTGTGTGGTGTGCATGTTTTGTAGATTTACATGATATGGTACACATGTAGAGGGTTGTGTGAGTCTATTGTATAGGTGCACATGTGGAGGTGTGTTCACTGTATGTGTATGAGTTGTATAAATACACATGTCACAGTGTTCATGTGGAGGTGTGTGTGTGTGTGTGTGTGTGTGTGCGTGCGTGTGTATGGGTAGATGCACATGCCACATGTCGAGTTCAGAGAAGAATTTTTCTGAACCACTTCTTACACATGGGTCTTGAGGATTAAACACAGGTCATCGGGCTGGGTGGTGAGCCTTTGCCTACAGAGTGGTTTCTCTCACCAAAAACAGATTTTTAAGCCACAGATCAAATTCAGCTATGGTTTTTTGTTTTTGTCTTAAGACTTTAGAATAATAGGGATTAAAACTCACACTTCATAACAAGTATTTTGTTAAACTTCGTTTGTTCTGGTTTTGTTTGAGACAGGTTCTAGCTTTAATCCTGGCTGACTCAGAACTTGGTAGGTACACTAGGGCTGGCCTTGGATTTGTATCCATTCTTCTGTCTCTCCCTCTCAGGTGCTGGAATTACAGGTACATGTGGCCATTCTGGCTTTACTAAACTTAAGAAAAAGATTTTGCTTTAATACTCAGTAAAGATGTCAGTTGTCCTTCTAAGGAGCTCTTAGCCCCTTACAGAAAGGCATAGGGCAAGACCCTGGCAAGTGGGTAGGTTCCATCAGCAGAGTGCAGGCCCCCATCACTGTAGGATAACCCATGAAGCAGTGCCTTGGAGTCCAGACTTTGCTCTGACTCTGATCGTGTGTAATTGAGCAAATCTGTGCCATCACAACATCTTAGCCCCTTAGTCAAGGGGGAGATTGTCCCCACTTTTGCTCACTTTAGTATGTGAACTGTACTAATGAAAGCATTTCATGTCACCCTTTTCATACATAGAAATACACTGTCACCTTTCTTATACAAACATGTTATTTTTTTTTATGGTTTTGTGAGACAGTTTCTCTGTGTAGCCCTGGCTGTCCTGGAATTTGCTCTGTAGACCAGCATGGCCTTGAATTCAAAGATCCACTTACCTCTTGCCTCCTGAGTGCTGTGATTAAAGGCGTGTGCAACCAAGCTCATCTAGATACCATTTACTTTACAGGATTCCTATGGCTACCAGGTTCTCCCATGATTTGATTTGGTTTTCCTGTACATCTGCCCAGGTGGTGAATCAGTCACTGACCAGAGAATGAGGCACCTCCTGCCCTTTTGTTCTCTTGCTGTTACAATTAATTAAACACGTTTGAGTATGTGTGGGTAATTGAACTAATTGTATCCAGTGCATGAGAACGTATACTTAACTGTGGAAGCTTCTCCTGCTGAGATGTGTGTGGCGCTGCGTAGAGAATAATTGTAAAGCATTTGCCGCTGAACATGCTGCTTGTAATTGTGCTGCTTGGGTCCTAGGAATGTCTCTTTATTCCCTATAACCCTGGTTTGTGTTATTTTTTTCTTTCCTCCCAAGTTTTCCTAATACTTGGGCTAGTGGAGTTCCCACTGTACCTTCCAGCAGGCATTGCTAATCCAGGGACTAGGTAGTACATCTTGTCATCCTGTCAGCAGCTGGACCCTTGCCCTTCCTAGTTAGGGCTCAACCAGACCACTCGCCAGCCCCTTCCTGGCAGTGATGGGTTGAAGGTCCCTAGAGGATTGGCTAAAATCTGGCTCCCTTAATGAGAGCCAGAGCTCTCAGTTGCTGCCTTGGATCGCACAGCCTCTGCATCTGCAGGAGGCACAGTGGCTTAGAAGAGAGTCTGAGGAAAGCAGCACAGCCCAGTCCACAGTGGCCTTGGGCATGCAAGGCCAGCACTCCAGCATCCCCAGCCCAACCTGACTGTGTTCAAACAATGGCAGTCCAAGTGCAGGACGTACATCTGTACACTGCCACACCCTGCTGTTTCCTCTTATTAATGAAACAGAGATGGTGCCAGAAAGACCACTTTATAAAAGAATAAATTTAAATCCCAGGAAGCTCTTCACCCACATTAACCTAGGGTTGGGGGGATATCTATGTGTGTGTGTATGTGTGTGTGCGTGCGCATGTGCGCACATAAACATGCACACTTGAGTGTATAGGCACATATATGCATGTGTGTACATGTGGATGCCTGAGTATTGGGAGTCCTCCTTAATCACTGTCCACCTTATTTATTATTGTAAGTGTGCCTGTGAGAGCCCATGTGCCATGGAACACATAGAGGTTAGAGGACAATTTCCAGGACTTGGTTTTCTCCTCTCATTGTGGGTTCTGGGAATCAAATCCAAGTCCCTCAGATTTGTATGCCATGAACTTTCATCTGCTGAGCCAGACCCTGCATGTGTGTCTGTGTACCACATGCACACAGTGCCCTCGAGCCAGAGGTCTTCAGATCCCCTTGTAAGCCACCGTGTGAGTGTTGGAACTCAATGGCAGGACCACTGAAAGAGCAGCTAGTGCCCTTAACCACTGGGTCATCTCTCCAGCCCCTCCACTTTGTTGTTTGAGACATGTCTCTTACTGAATCTCTCATCTCATTGGGAGTGTACACTTTAGAATGGAGTTGCTGGATCATTGGACAGTTAGGTTTAACTTCATTTTTTAAAACTGCTAAGGAGGGCTGGCAAGATGACTCAGTTAAAAAAGCACTGACCTCCACATGCGTGTCATGGTAAGTGCATATCCATATTCTTGCACACATATCATATATAACACATGCACTCACACAATAATAATAATTGTTTTTGTTTTTTAAGACAGGGTTTCTTCTGTGTAGCCCTGGCTATCCTGGAACTTGGTTTGTAGACGGCTGGCCTCAAACTCAGAGAGAGCCCCCTGCCTCTGCCTCCCTAGTGCTGTGATTAAAGGCGTGCACCACCACCGCCCACCTCTTGAGTCTTCTGAATCACTAGGTTATTCTAGTAACTTTTTTGCTGAGATTATTGACGGAATGGAGTTGTTTGTTCTGTAGAATTTCTCTGAGCTGGGTCTTGCTGACTTTGTCCCACCCAGAACTTGATACATTCCTCCCAAAGCTTTTCCTGTGAGTTGGCAAGTCTAGCAGCAGGGTCAGGTCCTGGGCACTGCTTGCTGTGATTTGGATAAGCTGCCTAGCATTTCTTCCCCACAGCTGCACCAAAGCCAGCTGGAGCTGCAGGAGGTACGGCTGTCCTACAGGCAGCTACAGGTGAAAGTGGAAGAGCTCACGGAGGAGAGGAGCCTGCAGAGCTCGGCTGCTACCAGCACGTCCCTGCTGTCAGAGATCGAGCAAAGCATGGAGGCCGAGGAGCTGGAGCAGGAGAGAGAGCAGGTGCTGATATCACTTTTCTGGCAGAAGAAGTGGACCCCGGGGTTCTCTTCCACCCTCCTCTTCAACACTGTACTGCCGCTTGGCAACAGGCCGCAGTCCCTGCATGAGCTCCTTATGGCCACAGCTGGAGCAGTGGTCCACTCACTGAACGGCCACAGCTGGAGCAGTGGTCCACTCACTGAATGGCCACTGAAACCTTGAGCAGAACAGCTAGAGCCCAGTGTCCTCCGCTCAGGCCCTCCCCTGGGCCTTGGAGGTGATACAGAGTCCTCCAGCATTTGCAGTCCAGCAGTCCACCCCTTCGATGCCATTTGTCTCTTTATGCCTTCCATAATCACTCCTTTCCCGCTAGGCCCTGATTCCAGTCAGTGAAGCTAATTACGTAATAGAAATACTTTGCATGGCAGATTACTTGATTAGAGGGAAAATAAGAATTGGTAGTAGCTGGTCATGGGCACTAGGAAGACTGAAGCAGAAAAGCTACAGTAAGTTCCAGTCCAGCCAGGGCTACAGGGTAATCTCAGAAAGAAGTGAAAGTCTAAGAAGATGGACTAAGTCCAAAATATTTCTTATGGTAGACTATTTAAAAAACAATAGCAACAACAACAACAACAAAAAAAAAAACCTTGGTCCTAAAAACAGGATTTCAGGTCTCTGTGATTTGGCTTTAAATACTAAATAACCCAGTCTGTAACAGAGTAACTTTGTGACGCAGCTGAGACTGCAGCTCTGGGAAGCCTACTGCCAGGTCCGCTATCTCTGCTCACACCTCCGAGGAAACGACAGTGCCGATTCAGCCGTGTCCACAGATTCCTCCATGGATGAGTCCTCAGAAACCTCCTCCGCCAAGGACGTGCCTGCTGGCAGCCTGCGCACTGCCCTCAGTGATCTCAAGAGACTGATACAGAGCACTGTAGATGGCATGGAGCCCACGGTAAGGGTCAGCTACAGCATTCAGCCAGTGTGCAGTGGGAACTCATTGTGATGGTGCAGTAAGCTGAGCTGGAGCTTCCCTCATAACGTGCTGTCAGGATCCCGAGCCATTAGTTTGAGAGTACTAAGTACCAGTAACCAGGAGGTAGGACTGCAAATGCCATGGTAGCGGTTCTCAACCTTCCTACTGCTGCAACCGTTTAATACAATTCTTCATGTTGTGCTAACTCCCAACCATAAAGTTAGTTTCTTTGATACTTTATAACTATAATTTTGCTGCTGTTATGAATCCTGATGTAAATATTTTTGGAGACAGATGTTTACCACAGGGTCAAGACCCACAGGTTGAGAACAACTGTACCATGGCGTAGTCCTTTTCTCCATATAGTTATATACAAGGCTCTAGTGGCCTAGAGTTGAAGGGTTTTTTCTTAGAGACAGTGAATAGAGAAATTTGTATCTGGCTAAAACTCCCAAGTTGCTCTTCTGTAATTGGTCCTGAGAGAAAAGGTGCTCATGAGTGGGCAGAGGCTGGCAGATCTCTATCTGAGTTCAAGGCTAGCTTGATCTATGTAGTAAGTTCTAAGGCAGCCAGAAATACATAGTATAACTCTGTCTCAAAAGAGAGAGAGAGAGACAGAGACAGAGACAGGAGGTTGAGGAACTGAGCAGGCTCTTTGGGAACCCCAGAGGAGGCCTCGTGTGGGGAAGAGGACTTTCCTCTTCATCCAGAGTGAACCAGCCATCTCTACAGCTTTATGGTAGATTCTCCCTCCCAGAGTAGCTAACGTCTTCTGTTCTATGAGAGGCAGTAAGTTGAAGAGCAGATGTTTCTGTCTAAACAGCCTGGGTTGATCTGTAGACTAGATAGTAGCAGGAGGCCAAGTTACTGTGGGATAAGGAAGTTGTCAGTGGTATATGCCATTCATAGCACGTACAGCTGCTTCTCCCAAAACTTGAAATAAAAGTGAGCTTTTCTAGGGTAAAATTAAATGCAGAAAAATCTCTCCCTAGCCCCCCAGGTCTCCCATGTTTCATCCTCTCACCTTCCTCCATTTCTCTTCATTTTTCTGACCTGCGCCTGCCCCCATTACTCTCCCCTCTCTTCCCTACCTACTACTGGCTTCCCTCTTTCTGTCAGGGCACCCGGAGAATGGACGATGACTCACTGGAAGAACAGATAAGGCAGACCAGTGAGGACTCAAGAGCCCTGAGGGAGCTCATGGAGGGAGAGAGGGGTAAACTGAGGCAGAGCCTAGAAGAGCTGCAGCAACTGCACAGTCAGGTGAGCACCCCCATTTCACAGTGGAGAGAATGTACATGGGTCCCTTATCCGCTCCCACTTTTGTGAGATGCTGTTCTCCTCCATGATGTTCTCATGGGGCTGTGACCCGAAGTTGAGGAACTGGGTGTCTTCAGGAGAGAAAAAGCAGTCCTGATTCTGCCCGAGTGAGATTGGCAGGGACAGAAATAGCTGGTTGTGTTTCCTGAGGTGGTGTGTTCACAGAGGTAGAAATCGGGCTGGCTGGTTGGTGCTGACCACTGAAAGCCACAGCTCCCAGGCCACTTTCTGATGTTTTCCCCAGCAACTTCCGGGCCAGGAGTTGTCAATCAAGGAACAATTGATATTTCAGGTATCAGTTTCATCACCTTTGAGACCTTTTTTTTTCCAGCTCTTGGGAACTTATTGTTGCCCCTGCTGTTCCTTTCTTGTTTGATCATGATTCCATCTCTCTGTGAACACTAAAGGACATCAGTTCTCTGATCTGAAAAATGTTAAAGGACTTAGGAGATGCTTCACCCAGAAAGAGGTTTTTGAGATCTGTCCTAGGACACACTTCCTCTGGACCAGACATATGCAGGAGTGACCTATACGCAACCCCGCTTACCTGCCTTTCCTGGCCTGGGTAAAATTTCTTACACTTAAGATACCTTCATTCTCAACTCCTGTCTCTTTTATTATCATCTTAGAAAAATACATCTACAGCCACCGCTAATCTTCGTGTGAGAGGACAGAGGGCAAGGGTAAAGGTCACAGCTGTGGCTTGCTCCTAGCCAGGTACGGGACATGTTCCTGCCTAAACGCTGAGATCCTCAGAAAGTGGTTCAGACTTCAAGACAGAACTTCTCAACTAAAGGAATAAAATACAAGAGAAAGTTCTCTGAAAGGGTATAGCTCAGTGGTAGAGTGCTTGACCAACAAGTGCAAGGCCCTAGGTTCAATCGCCAGCACTTCCCAAAGGAAAAAAAAATGTTTAAGTTCTTTGGAGGTGGTGGCACACAGTGTGGTGGCACCTGCATGTAACTACAGTGCTTGGAAGTGAGAAGTGAAGGCAGGGAACCTAGGAGTTCAGGGCCATCATCAAATACATAGAGAGTTCATGGCCAGCCTGACACCTGTCTCAGTTAAACAGGGTTAAAGAGGGTAAATGTTCCTTAGGTTAACACTGTATTGGTTGGTTTGTTGGTTGGTCTGGAGATGGTGGTCTTGCTGTGCTGCATTTATTAGTCTTGAACTCTTGGGCTCAACAGATCCTCTTGCCTCAGCCTCCCAAGCATATGTCAGTGCTCCTGACTTATTTTAATTAAGTGCTTGCTTATTAGTGATTTGATAAATTTTTTAAAAAGTTTTCTTATCAGAGTTGAAAACTAAAAATTTCCTGGAGGACATTATTATTTCATTCAGAAGTGCAGCTTAAATATAGGTTGCCCAGCTTAAATATAGGTTGGTATGGAACTTTAGGAAGTCATGTCTACTAAGTTTTCTTAGAAGTTCAGTTGATAGCCAGGTGTGGTGGCACACATCTTTAATCCCAGCACTCGGGAGGTAGAAGCAGGTGGACCTCTGTGAGTTCTAGGCCAGCCTGCTCTACAGAGTGAGTTCCAGGACACCCAGGATTGTTACACAGAGAAACCCTGTCTCAAAAAACAAAACAAAAGTTCATTTGATAACTAGTTGAGGCCAATACCTGTGAGCTTCCTTACAGAGAGTTCCCTAGACTCCACTCATACCCCATGTGGACTGTAGAATTTCTTCAAAGAAGAAACCTCTTAGCTACACCTGCATCTACTAATGTGGACACCCATGGGAGTCACACTAACACCCAAGTTAGGGATTTGGGATTCTCACTTAGTCCTAAAAATAGCAGCCAATACTGAAGGCTTGATATTCCTCATGGGGGTTGGTTCACAATCTGCCCACTGCCCACTATATGTCTGGCACTGAGGCTAGACCCTGAGCACATGTGATACTTGTGTGAAACACTTGCTTTCTAGGGTCTCTAACAGTGTTGGGAGGGCAGCTGGAATTATCTCTGTGCTCCTTGGTAATAGGGTGCAGACGAGGTTACTTGGGTCTGAGATTTCAGGAACAGCTAGGCCAAAGTTAAGCCTCATCCGCTCAGAGATCCAGTCTCTTAAGTCCATTGCTTTCCTTCTTGAGAGTGTTCTTATTCCCCTGGAACCTGGACAGAAGGCAGTGTGGGTGTGCTGCATGCTGCCACCTCAGAAACTAATCAGACTTTAATTAAAAGAGTGTAATAACTGCTAATATCTGTTTGAGGTAAAATCCATAACCAGTATTAGCACCCACCACCTCTCTGCCCTCTGTCCCCAGCATCCTCCTTGGCATTGGTGAATACAAAGCAGCCACCAGCAGATGGAGTGGGTCTTCAGGATTAATTGTAGACTATAAAAGACAAGCACCCAGGAGCTGGAAAGATGGCTCAGCAGTTAAGAGCACTTGTTGCTCTTACAGAGGACTCAGGTTAAATTTCCAACATATGTGGTAGTTCACAGTCATCCATAACTCAGTTCCAGGGGATCCAGTACTGTCTTGACATCCACAGGCAACTGGCACACACATGGTATATATAAATACATATAGACAAAACACTCATTCACATAAATTATATAAATCTAAAAACAAATTAAAAGCAGATATCCATGAGGTCCCCCTGCCCCTGATCACTTTGTAACCTAGGCATTAGGAACAACTGCACAGCATTTTCTGTGAGTCTTTTTATGCAAGGTTTTCAAGGGAGCATGAGATCAGGCAAGTGCTCAAGGCTACTATAAATACTTGGTCTTCTAGTTGGTTTTCTGTTGTTATAATAGAATGCTCACTTGACTTACAGATCCACCCAAGCAGAGGTCATGGAGGGATGCTGCTTACTGATTTTCTCCCCTTGGCTTTATTTCTTACACAACCCAGGACTACTTGTACAAATGGTACCACTCATAATGGACTGGGCCCTTGATTAATAGTCATTAATCAAGAAAAATGTCCCATAGACATGCCTACAGGCCAATCTGATTAATGCATCTTCTCCACTGAGGTTCCCATTTCCCAGGTAATTGACAGAAACTTGCCAGTAAACCACTTGGTATACTCTGTCTTCATCCTTCTGGCCACTGCCATTTCAGTCCTGCCTTCTTTCACTGCTAGCTTTGCATATTGCTTGCCCATTTGTGTATGCTTCTGAGCCCAGCCACCCTCACGGGGCGGCAGTTGCCTGTAGTGAGATTTGAAAGCAGGGTACCTCCTGTGAGCCATGAACAGCTTTCATATCAGGACATAGACTTAGCAAGTCCCTGGCCACCATGTGCCTCTGCATTCTGCCACCCAGAGAACATGAGCAATAATAGAGTAGCTGTGCACACTGCCCAGTGTCTGGAAGATCCTCCCTCCTGCCTGCTTAGGCCACCACCCTGTTCATTCAGAGAGGCTTTCACTTCCTCCTTGAACTCTTTATCTTCCCGGAAGACCCACTGGCTCCATCTTATTGTGGTAACTACATTCCCATCTTGTTTTCCAATCAAGCAGAACACAGACCCCATAATGACCAGTGCAAGTTACCACTCAGCTTTTTCTCCTGGAGTCCTAGCACAGGCCACTAGACTAAGTCTCTAGCACAGAATCGTAATTGATTGTTGAAGGAAAGAGTAGGTTTCATGGCTTCAGGGTAGGCTTTTTAATGTTATTTAATTGTGAGGCCCTCTGTCTTATTAGGGGAAGATGGGTGGTGGGTGTAGCCTAAATGCATGTATAGACCAGCCAGGTCCACTTTGAAGACAGCCATCAGATCTAACCTTAGTGAAGACTGGGAAGAGTGGAGTCCACCTTAATCACATTTGAACCTGACATCAACTAGTTGGGGTAGGAAGGTAGGTTTTGTTTGTTTGTTTTTCCTGATTTCCGTATCCCTTCCTAAGAAGCTGGCAGCTGGGGCAGTGGAAAGCTTTTCTGGAGTTTTATTTGGTGTGTATTGGGTGTTGGTTGGTCTGACCCAGTATCATGCTCAGCATAGGGTTTCACTTTTCTGTCCCCCTTATTCAGCTGTCCTGAAGCCACACCACACGTCTTTGATCTGAAGAAGTCTAGGTCTTGGGTCAGGCTATCAGGCTGCCAGACCTGCCAGTACCCTAGGGTAAGGCTAAACCTCTCCCCAGTCACCTCTGCCTTAGAGCGAGTGCATGTCCAAACCAGAGCCTTTGCAGAAATTCCAAATTGTTAGCACCAGGGCAGAGCTCCAGTCCCAGGCCCTTACATTCCTTATTAGGCTCTTAAGAGTGCCAAATTTGAGGCTAGGAGAAATGGCTCAGCAGTTAAGAATGCTGGCTTCTTTTTCCAAAGGACCAGAGTTTGATTCCCAGCATCCAAATGGCAGCTTGTAACTGTAATTGAAGTTCCAAGGGTCCAGCAGCCTCTTCTGGCCTCAGAGGGCACCAGGTATGTGCCAGGTTAACACATGTATGAGCAGGCAAAAACACATAGACCACATACATAAAAATCTTTTTTTCCTGACATTTTTTTAAAAATATGCAACATATTTCCTGTCTTTTCATCATTGGATGTCTTCTACATTCATGCAAAGTAGCTGCTGGCTCTGTCTGGGAGCTTGATCTTCAATCTAGTCCTGGAGTCAGGGTGGCAGATGTCACTTGATGGGAAGGAGCAGACCTGTGTGGATAAATCCTCCCTTGGAAAAATGTCAGTGGGTGTGTAATACTTAGCAAGAGAATGAGGTTGGGCATCCCTATTTATGTCTGATCCTATCAATCTTCATTGCTTAATACGTTTATTGCAATCTCTACCAGACTAGTTACACACAACAGACATTTGCTTTGTGTAACTTAAGTAGAAAATGAATGCATTGCAATTAAATCTGATAGCTTATAGGATCAACTTCAAGAACAATTGGATCACTTAGGTCCCAAACAGGAAGGAGTAGTCATGGGAAGCAGAGAACAGACCCAGTCTGCTGTCTGGCAAATAGTCCCTGCTCACATGCAGTTTTGCTTTCCTTCTCCTCCCAGATTTACAAGGCGGGTGAGGGGGCAAAGGAAAAGTAGATGCTTTCCACATATCTGGCTTTCCTACTGGGAGGACATCTCTGTCTCTCAGCAAGGCATACAACCAGGAATGTCCCCCAAATAGTAAAGGTTTGAATTAATGTCTATCTCAAATGTCAGCTGTTGAGTGCACAAGTGTTTTAGGATTAAGTACTATTTGCAGCCAAGCCCTGGGGTTTACAGACGGATAGGACATGTTTCCAGTGACAGTGGTGGATTTGAGTGAGGTCACTCCGCTTTGGGGTAGGACGGAATGTGTTGCTGAAGCGGACACAAGAGGAGCCCTTCATTGCCAAATGGTAACTCCCAGGTTGGTCTTGAGGACTGAGCAGGTGCCATTCACTCAGGAATGGACCACAGAAAAGGTAGTAGGATCAGAGTGACAGATCAGAGGTGTTGAAATTCCATGTGGCTTTGATCTGTGGAACTGAATGGGAACATCAAACTGTGCCAGAATTTGAGACCCTGCCTCCAAAAAATGTGTTCCAGAGCTCTGATGCATGTGTGATCTTTTACTGTCTACCTGGGAGTGCCTCTTCAGTCAAAGCAGTGCTGTGGTATGCTGAGGACACAGGGATCTGACTCCATGGCTGCATGTCAGCTTCAACCTCCACCCTAAACCCTAGCCACTGAGCTGGAACCGGGCACAAAGCATTGTTGCTCGGGGGAGGAGGGCTCTGCATTGAAACAGCAACAACAAGGACACTACCAGCCTGCTCCCGACACATGCCCCTGGGACCTGCAGATGTCCTTTTTTAAAAAATTATTTTCAAACATTTATTCTTAACTATGTGTGTGTCAGAAGAGGATGTCTGAAGTCTTCAAGATGGAGTTACAGCCAGCTGTGAACGGAGGGTACCGGTGGGACTGGACACATGGGTCTTCTGAAAGAGCACAAAGAGTTCTTAACTGCTGAGCCATTTCTGCAGCCCCTCAAAATTGTGGTAGAGGTCAGAGGACAATTTGTAGGGTCAGTTTTCTCCTTCCATTTTTATTTGGGTTTTAGGACTCAAATTCAGGTTGTCAGGCTTACACAGCAAGCGCCTTTACCTGCTGAGCCGTCTTGCTGAGCTCGTGGAGAAAGCCCCCAGGACGGCAGCAGCAGCATTACCACATTCCTTTTCCTCTGATCTGTTGCTAGGTGACACTGCTGAGTGTGGAGATGACTGCACTGAAGGAAGAGAGGGACCGACTCAGAGTGACGTCTGAGGACAAGGAGCCAAAGGAGCAGCTTCAGAAGGCCATCAGGGACCGGGATGAGGCTATTGCAAAGTGAGTGGAGATGGGTTGTTTACTCTTACTTTAAATGTGATGACTGCATAACTCTGCAGCCCTGTTGCCATCCCCTGTAGCACTGAAGATGCAGGCACACATGGCTACATCCAGCTTTTTACACGAGTGCTGGGATCCAGACTTATGGCATTATGCTTGTACGGCAGGTGCTGTTGTTCCTCTGAACCATCTCTCCAGCCTCTACTTTGATTTCTTAATAAAACTGAGGTATGTGGCCTGGCTGCGATGGCACACACCTTTAATCCCAGGAATCGGGAGGCAGAGGCAGGCAGATCTCTGAGTTCAATGTTGAATTAGGAGCGGCAGGGCTGCGTCCCCGGCAGGCACCCGGCTGCCTGCATGGCTAGCTTATGCCCGAAATAATTACTCGGAAACTGTATTCTTTCAATCACTGCCTGGCCCGGCTAGTTCCAGCTTCTTATTGGCTAGCTCTTACATATTGTTCTAACCCATTTCTAATATTCTGTGTAGCCCACGAGCTGGCTTACCAGGGAGGATCTTAACCTGCGTCTGTCTGGAGAGGGAGAATCATGGCGACTCCTCAACTAAGCTTCTTTCTCCCAGCATTCTCTTCTGTTTTCTCCACCCACCTAAGGGTGGGCCTATCAAGGGGCCTAGGCAGTTTCTTTATTAATAAGAAATCACTCCCACATCAGTTCAAGGCCAGCCTGGTCTACAGAGTGAGTTTCAGGGCAGCCAGGGCTGTCTGTAACACAGGAAAACCCCGTCTAAATAAATTAATAATAGATGGAAATTCTATTATAAGCCCACCATCGTGTCATATATTTATGTTTCAGAACTCAGGAGGTATAAACAGAAGGATCTCCAGTATAAGACACCCTGCACTACAGAGTGAGTTCAAGACCAGCCTAGGTTACATAATAAAACCTTGTCTCAAACACACACACACACACACACACACACACACACACACACCCCACAACACTCTTAATACAGGAGAACACAAAGATAGGGTTAGTTGCCCTGCTACCCACTTTTCTTGGTTCCAGGTAGACTCTGCTAGTGAAGGTTGGTTATGTGACTTGACACTTTTCCTATGGGTGTGTTGGCATACTTGTAATATATTGGTTGTGTAATTAGTTTAAGCACCGGATGCTACAGTGCGTGGCTTAGCATATTTCCCACTTACAGCTTAGTTTTCCAGTGTCATTATGTGCATCTACCACATTTTGATTATTTTTAGTTTTTTTTTTAATTTATTATGATTTTTTTTTTTTTTTTGAGACAGGGTTTCTCAGTAGGTATGGAGCCAGTCCTGGAACTCGCTCTTTAGATCAGGCTGGCATTGAACTCACAGAGATCTGCCTACCTCTGCCTCCTGAGTGCTGGGATTAAAAGCGTGCACCACCGCCCGGTTATTATGAGCATTCTTAAGTATTCACAAAAGAAAGAAACATAATAAGAACCCTCATCTACCCATCTGTCAGGTTCAGTCATGGAGCTGAGTTCTTTGACCTGTGACCTCAGTTCAAATCCAGTGAGGCAGGGGGTGGGGGGGATGACAACGACGACTGGTTTCTGTCCCCTCCTCCATGGATACTTCAGTTTGCTTCCCTAACCAGCACAGTATTATAGCTGGCTAGTTGGCTGGGTGAGGTTTTTTGTTTTTGTGGTATTTTTTTTCATGAGAAGGAGTAAACTCGTAGATAGTAGGCCTCATCAGTGCTAGGCAAGTGCTTTGCTAATAAACTGTACTCCTCTATGAAAACAAGTTCTTAATGACATTAAGTCAGTGTCCTTAAACCTCTTTTCCACAGTGCACACAAGTTATCCCATAAATGTAATTTTACTTGTTTAGAATCTGGTTCCATCTCTATGGGTTCGAAGCCAGCCGGTCTACAGAGCTAGTTCCAGGACAGCCTGAGCTACAGAGAAAAACCCTGTCTCAAAAAACCAAAATGAACAACAACAACAAAAAAATCTGGTTCCAAAGCTCATGTATTCACCTGACTGACAACGTTCTGAAAGCCTGGAACATTCCCTCTTCCTGTCCCTCTTAACCACATTTGTTTGGTGAGGAACCAGAATCTTTGTCTTTCACTTTTTGCAGTTGGGTTTGATTTTACAGCATTTTACAGTTTCTACTGTTCCATTTATTTCTAATAAACCAGGTCATTTTTTCAAATACTGTTTTCAAAAAATGAAGTGAATAAATGCATTTCTTTGCATTCAACAATTTGGAAATACAGAGAGGCTAAAGGACATTTTTACATGGTCCACATTTTACTAGAAGTTGGTTGGTTTGTTATGCGGCTTAGGCTAGCCTCTCACTTTTAAATTATTCCCTGGTCTCAACCTCAAGTACTGGGATTTGCAGGTTTGCACCATGACACCCAGCTGATGCCCTCAGTCATCTGCCCCCTTCACTGAGGAGATAAAAACTGGGGGAAAAAAGTGTGTTTGCTCTCTGATGCCTGTCTCAGTGTCTACAGAGGAAGTAAAGGGCTTTATTTTTGTTTCGTTTGCTTGAGTTTTATTTTGTTTGTTTTTTTTTTTTGTTTGTTTGTTTGTTTGTTTGAGTTTGTTGGTTGATTTTTTTTTTTTGGTTTTCTGAATCAGGTCATTTGTGTAGCCTGGCTGTCCTGGAACTCGCTTTGTGTATTAGGCTGGCTTCAAACTTAATTCTCTCCGATTAAAGGCCTGCACCAGGAGGAAAGTAAGCTTTTCTCAGGCCTGTTGATCCTCTGGAGCTGACAGCTGGAGAGCTGCTCTCTGCCATAGCTGTGCTGTAAACAAGAGCAGTTTATCACGGTCTGCCTTTTGGTCTTTCATCGTCTTCATCCCATTTTACCCTTCTGTCCGTCTTCTTCTCACGTTGGTTCATGTTCGGTACTGAAAGTGAGATAGCCCAGTAAGGCTCTGCTCATGTTGTCCCTGTGTGCCCACGGGATGGATTCCCATCACACTTCTGGTTCTCAGTGCCCGCAGGCATTATCGTCACCCAGGGCCTCTCCAAAACAGTTCAGTCTGAGTGGCTGGGATGGGACTGCTTCCTTACCTGGTTATTTAATGTATATTCAAGGAAGAGAGACTGGCCTCACTAAACTGGGCTGCAGGGACCTTAAGGTGTTCCTTATCTCTCTCACACAATAGGTGAGGTTCAGGAAAACCACTATGAGTTTTATCACCTTACAGTTGAAAAGCACTCACAGAAGTTAACCTGACAGGTGAGAAACTGTACCACTGAATCACCAATGTGGATAGCAGAAGCTAATCTGAAAATAGTAATCTGCTTTACAGAAAGTCCCAGTGACTTCATTTATATGAGGGATTATTCTGGGCACTGGAAATACTTTTTCAAGAATATGATTGCTGTATTGATCAGCGACTTGTGGACCCTTGCCTTCTGGGTCTGGGTTCCTTTTGAAAACTCGCCTTCCCCTCTTGCACTGCAGCTCTGCCCCGGCCCGTGGCCCTGGCATTAGTCAGCACATTCCCCTAGCTCCGGGCTGCTCGTGGCGCCACCTGCTGGCAAACACATGGTACCTCCTGAGGGCTAGAGCAGCTAGGGGGCGCCTGTGGTTTGGGAACTGTCAGGCAAATCGCGTCCATGGCAACTGCTGCCCTGAGGATTTCTGCTGTTCTCCACCAGCCAATGGCAGCGATCGTGACGGAAGCAACCTGCGGCTTCTGAACCATTGACCATTGGACAGACTTGGTCCAATCCCTGCTGCCTGCAGCCGCAGTGGGTGGGGCCGGGATGAGCCCATAGTTGTCTAGAGCTGCCTATAGGGCAAAGTGGTGGGTGAATACACCACTTTGGGTCAGGGTGGGGTGTGGAGCAGGTGACTAATTGCAGGGTAGAGGGCAAGGCAGGGAGGAAATATGGTCTGAGCGCTTCAAATGAGACTCACCTACTCCTTCCGGCTTTGCTTGGTTAGTGTGTTGTTCTGAGGCCAGATTGGTGGCCTCTGGGTCCTGCAGCTCCCCATGGGTCTGGCTTTCAAGGCTGCAGCGGGTGCTGCCTTTGCAGAGGCAACGCAGTTAACTGCTCCTCCTTTCGTACCCACCCCAACGGGTTTGTTTTCTTTTGTTGGTGGTTGTGGTGGTGGTAGGTTTTGTTTGTTCGTTTGTTTGTTTTGCATTGGGCAACTATATTGTTGGAAAGGTGAGCAAAACAGTGCCCAAAACATGCACATTTAAAAATCTTGAACTATGTGGGCAAAGTTAGCATCAGTGACATCACCAAACATAATCCTCTGTGGTTTTGTGTGTCTTGTATGTTGACACACTGGCAGTTTTGCTTCACGAAGCCCGACCTCTTCCTCCTTGGTTCCATCATGATAAATTGTCAGTAAATACCCCATGTCTGTGATTTACTGCTGCTCATGTTGTATTGTCTCTTTTATTTTGAAACAGTTCCCCAATTATTAGATACTGGAGCTATTAAACTTTGGTCACCATTATGTGGCTTCCTTTGAACATCTTTATCTTAGGGGTAATTCCACTGGGGGAGTAGCTAGCCCAACGGAGTACCTCCCACAGTGTGCACAGCCTGTGGGAAGGGACAGCAAACAGCTCCTTTGTGAGAGGCCCTTCATCACTTCTGGGCTCTTGTTCTCGTGGAAATGCTGTTCTCTTTTGACCACTTTGTCTCTTGTTAGAGAGGAGAGATCATCACTTGCCACAGGTTGGTTAGAAAGCATGTTACAGTCCTTCAAGGGGCATAGTTACAGTGACCCTGTGGTGTGGGGTCGGCCCCTTACCTTACCCTTAGACGCCAGGTCTCCCAGTGAAGAACCAGAAGCCCCTGGCACAAGGTCCCCATCCTCATTGCGGTTCATCTGTTTGCAGGAAGAACGCCGTAGAGCTAGAACTCGCCAAGTGCAAGATGGACATGATGTCTCTCAACAGCCAGCTGTTGGATGCCATTCAGCAAAAGCTGAATCTCTCACAGCAGCTTGAGGCTTGGCAGGTAAGCAGGAGCTGAGGCCTAGTGGGGAGTGCATGAAGCATCTCTGAACCAAGATCTGTAAGGGGAGTTTTGACAAGAGGTCCCAGGAGCTTCCATTTTTCACCCCAGGGAAGAATGCCTTATAGTGGCCTCGAGACAGAAAGCTCAGCCAGCCTCTGTCGGGAACATGCTTCCACCAGACACAGAATGGGCCTCCCTCAGCTGCTCACCCTGGCTTCTTTTAAACTCAGGTTGGGGCCAGGAAGCCCCGTGTGACTGAATGAAAACTCAGAGCTGGGCGCAGCTCAGCAGTCGTCGGGCAGTTGCTGCAGCTTCCCTTTTCCATGGGCACTGTCTGTCTGGCACAGATCCTGGAGAAAGTGAGTCAGTGTGGCCAGCTCTGGGACCATTTTCAGGGTCTCCTGACTCCCTGCTGCCCGGGGCTCTGACTCTTGGACGAGGTTGTGGTAGGCTGTCAGAATGTGGGTGTAGTGGTTAACGTCTCTCTTCAGATGGAAACTCACCTGTGACTTGCTGAGGTGAGCCCCACAGTGGCAGGCAGAATAGCAGTGACCATTACACTGTGGCTCTGTGGGATTGGCAACCACACACAGTCTTGACGACACCATCAGGTCACTGGCTCCCTGGCTCCTACCAGCAGCCAGATAGCCAGAACCCAGGCTTACCACAGCTGTTCTCTCTTCTCTCCCAACTACAGTTTGCTTCCTCAGGGCTTTTTACTATCTGGCTCCTTTGGTTTCTGATCTAGTGGCCTTTCTCAGTTCCTGTACCAACAGCTTTAGTTGTACACCCCTCCTGCCTTTGAGGTGAGATTGAACCTTGTGTCCATTCATCCATTCCCCTCTGCCATCTCTGTTCTGCATCTGCCACCTCCCCATGGCTCACTGTGTTCTGTGTTCCGGAACTCGGCCTCATCTCTGTGTAGTGTGACATGCCATTGAGCCCCAGCCTCCCTTCTCCCATCACTGCTATGAGTTTGGCAGTCCTGGCAGGCTGATGGCAACTTATCATAGATGGATTTTTACCACAAGAATAGCAGCAGTCATGGGATCATAACCAGCTCGTGCACCTGTGCACGCACATGTGTAAAGTTCTAAGGAGATGTGTTCATAGAATTTGCTTGATGAATTTGGTTACTTAAAGTATAAAAATGTAGTTTGCAGTGACTGTGCCAGAGAATACATGACAGCATTGGAAGGACTTCTTTCTAAAGGTCTCTTGACTTTTCTCTCTGGTAGTGAACAATATATTTTATTGAATTTGTCCTAAGTATAGATTACTGTGCTAAGATTCCACACTGAGACTTTAGAAGTAGGAGCCATGTGCTTTGTGCTGGCAAAAATGACACAGGGTTTAATCTGAGAGGCAAATGGAAAATCGGCTGGCAGGGAAAGGAGGAGGAGGAGCCAGGGAGGACGCTGAGTGTGATGGAGGGTGAGAATGGGGTGCCAGAGGCCAGGAAGGCCCTTTGCTTTCATTCTGAAACCTGAAAAGTCATTCAGGTTATTCCCACTGATCAGAACTTGAATGAAACAGAGGTGACAGACAAGCTGGATGCAAGTGGGGCAAGGCTTTCCAGGTTTGTGCTCTCATCTCCTAAGTGGCTGCTCAGAGCCAGCCTTTCCCTGCTGCACGGAGCCCACCCACCCCAACCTGGCTTCACCTGTCGTGTGCTTAGATTCAAGCCAGTGAGCCCCTAAGAGTTTGTCTTGGGGTCTTTTGTCAGAACTTCACAGAGCTTACAGCTAAAAGCTGAAGGAGGTGGGAGGTGTGGTGTGTTTGCTTTCTGGTGGTGGATCACACAGAGCTCCTTACAGACTGGGTCAGTAGCAGAGCCCGTTGTCAGGTAGTGTCTTCCACGGTAACCAGAATTTAGGGACTAGGAAGGAGCTGCTCAAAGCTGCTCTCGTGTGAAACAGGACGGGGGACTTGTTCTGAGTAACCAGCTAATTAGAGGGGTAAGGTTCTTACCCCCATGAAGAAGCTAATAGGACTGAATTGGAACAAGACAGTCTCAACATTGCTCACAGGTTTAGCTGTGTGAGAGTCTGGCCAGAGGGGTGAAGGCAGTCCCAAACATAGAGCCACTGCCTCTGGTGTGTGGGTATTAGTGACTTAGCCTGAAAGTGATTTGAAGGGGGAAATTTGGACACAGGTAGCCTCTTGGGCCAGGTCATTGGACTAGAGACCTGACAAGCTAAGGTTGGTCTGAGCTGACTTAGGGTGGGGTAGCAAGCCAGATCACAGGCACCCACACAGCCCCGTGAGCTAGTATGAAGGCTGTTCTGTTCTTTAGGCCCAAAAAGACACTGGCTGAGATAGCGCTATATGGCACCTAAGTGTCCTGGCATGGTTGGTCCACCAGCCCCAATTGCAGTGCTTGTTCATCTCATCCCTCATCTTCACCTGCCCAGACATGTCACTTCCCTGTCCAACCCCAGGGCCAGGTAAGACAGCTACTAATCCACATTCCCTCTCCCTCTCTGCAGGATGACATGCACAGGGTCATTGACAGGCAGCTGATGGATACGCAGCTGAAGGAACAGGGCCGGCCTGCTGCTGCCCTCTCTAGGGGCCACGGCGTAGGACGGGGGCAGGAACCCAGCACCATGGATGGCAAACGGCTCTTCTCCTTCTTCAGGAAAATTTAAGTGAGAAGTCAGGCTGTTGAGAATGGGGGACTAGAGGCAGTTGAAAAGGGTCTCCCGTCAACTGGAGCTGGGCAGCTGTACTGCCGGCCCGGCTGTCCTGGGGCCAGTTGGGTCTTGAGAACCCCCTCCCTTTTGTCAGTGCAATGGAGACTGAGAAGTAGGGGGACCTGCCTTGTCCTCTGAAAGCTGCTCCCTACCAAGGGACAGGAATAAACCCTGTCCCCACTGCCTAAGCCAAGCCTCAGCCTGGGCTTCCCCAGGATCCTGTTAGTGAGTAGGGCTCAAGTCACTTCCCATGCAGTCCATTGATGGGCTCTGCCACTCAGACCCAGCTGATCACAGCCCACACTACAGGCTTTTCTGCCTCCTTGGATTTTGAACATGGGGACAGAGATTGAGACCCTCCTGTGCATGCCTCAGGAGGCCTGAGCCTCCACTCCTGCCCCAGCTACTTGCCTGGAGTAAGGGGAGGCATAACCCCTCACCCATGTGCATGCCCTCTGCTGGAGTCCCTGTACAGCAGGAGCCCCAGCCTATGGCTGTGGGGCTTAAGAACTGGGTTACCCAAGTTCTGTTGAGGCCACTCTGTATCGCAGGGAAGGTCCTGTCTTCTGGCCGCCAGCACACCTCAGCTTCCTCCAGTGCAGGCAGTCCTTAACCCTAGTGAGGTCTGGGCCCGGCAGCATCCCGCTGGCCCTCTATAGGCTCTAGCTTCCAGACTTCCCCTCATGGGGTAGGGCTGGGAGAGCACTTGTCTTCCACAGCTCCCTCCCACCTCAAATACAATGGCCCAAGCCAACAAGTTGAGGCCATAAAATGGCCTCCAAGGGGACTAGTTGAACCTTACCCGCACACTGAAGGTAGCGTGGGTGCCACAGGCCACAGGGTGGATGGGGTAAGGCTGCTGGGAGCTTCCAGATACTGCCCACCAGGCCCAAGGGACAAGGCCTGCAGCCTGCTGCTTCTGCTCCTTCTGCAGCAGCTACCCCATCTCTGCTGAGGCCCCAGCTCAGAGGCTCTGTGGGCCCAGCCTGCAGCTGCTTACCACTCACTAAGCCTCCTGTCCTCAATGGGGAAAAGCACAGCAGGGCTGAGCGGAAAGAATGTACTTATAGATATGTACATACCACAGTGCTGTAATTTTGTATGTAGCAATTATGTAAATACACGTATGGATTTTATAATACACATATATAAATCTATAAAGGCATATTTTTAGAAAAACAGCGCACCACTGCTTCTTTTGAAAATAGTCTGAATAAGAATAAAATGAATTTCTACAGAACTCCTGCCTCAGTTCCTGGGTATTTGGAGAGTTTTGTTACAAACATGACTTGTGTGTCAAAAGCCACGACTGGCTGCTGCTGCTACAGAGGGGTTAGTACCAGAAGGGTTACTTGTGAAGGTGGCAGCATCTTGCCCCACACCCTCTTGTTCAGCATAGCAGAAACTTCCAGCTGAAAGCACTCAAAGCAAAAGCTTCCGCTGCATCCTTCCGGCATGTAAAGAATAAACATGGAGCTTCCCCTGGCACGCTCCCACACGTGTTCTGGGCCCCATCCACGGAGAACACAGACTTGCCCCCTGATAGTTTCCCGTGCAGCACCAGAGATCAACAAAAAAGCAAAAGCTGGACCTAACAAACAGTAGAAGCGGCCAGTACCCAGAGCACAGCTGGAGGACAGCAAGTAGACCCTGGAGAGAAATTTGGCAGCTTGAACCTTTATTTTTAGTAGTTTTTTTAAAAAGCATAATTAGAAACTTTCAATACAGAAATAATCCTAGCAAACCTTTAAAAGTTTGTTGTTTGACAGGAGTTTCACATCAGGTCCACCAGGATACCAGTTTAGCCCTGAGTCCCCTACCCCCACCCTTATCCCCACCCCACCCCACTCATGCATGGAACACTCTGTGGGACAGGCACACCGTTGTCACCAAAATCACCCATCACCTGGGCCTTAATAGGCCAGAAGCCACAGAGGCACCTAACTTGGGCCAGATGTTCCAAGATCACCCTCTTATTGCTTGAATTGGCAAACACCTTCACACTGGTTCCCACATGCTCAGAAGCGTGTGACACCTTCTGCCCACCCCACCCCCCTCCGTCAGCCAAGACAGTCCTAAAACCAATCTGCCTCAACTCCCAGCTCACCTGGATCAGATGGAGCCACATACTGCTTGGCCCTGAAGTGTCCTCCACAGCACCTACCTTCCTAGGCCCACAGCCCCAACACAGCCTGAAGCTCAGAAACAGGCCTGTCGCACAGAACCCCAGCTTTGACAGTTTGGACAAGTGGAGAGACAGGTGAGAAGAAAGCCCCAGTTTTATTGATTAAAAACCCATCCACAGTGTTACCATGGAAAATCTGCAGAAATCTGTGATGATTGTCCAGTCAGGACTGTGCCTGGAAGTTGCCTTGGAAAGAAAATCTAATAAAACGCATTATGGTGTCCAATCAGTTCTTCCCAGTTACATGATCCTCTAGGGGAAAGGGAGGGGAGGTAATCAAATGTAGATTACCCTGGTTTTTACTCCAGGGAACTGGGGTGGGTAGGTCAAGACTAGCTGCCCCCACCCCACTGCCACTTCTTCCCAGTGGCTAAGAAATCTTCCTACCATCCTCATACTAAAACAGGTCTGTCAGTAATGCAAAGCTGCCTATCCTAGCCTGGAGGTGTCGTCCCATTGTCCAGCAACTCCTGAAGTGCCAGAGGTGCCTGGTGCTACCTCAGAAACCAGCTCCAGTGACAGGCCCTTGCATATACAGAACAAGGGTGCAAAGCCCCCTTTTCCCACAAAAGGGAAAGAGCCTAACCCACAATGACAGAAACCATACACCTTTTCTAAAAACACTGAACCCAAAGTGGAACAGTCGCAACTTTTGCTATTGAGCCAATCAGGTCTCAAGGAAATAACTGGGGAACTTAATTCATTTGATTTGGCTTCATTTGGCTTTATGTTAATGATCCCCTTGCAAGCTCCACCTCTGAACAAAGGTACCCCCGGCTATCTTTCTGCTGGTACTGAAACATGTTGGGTAAGTGAGAAGCCACGGCTCCCCTGGGTTTGTAGCAAAGGCATCTGGAAGGCAGAATGAGAAACCTGTTGGCTAAAAGGGCAGAACTGACTTTCTCTGTGGAACTGATGGCCTAGGGCCAGCCAAGGGCAGGGCCTGAGTGGACACCAGGTTCCCCAGCTCCCAGAGCAGCTGTGGGGCAAGACCCATGCAGAGTGCACTCCATGGGCCCAGGCTGGCCAACGACTCAGCTAGGACATGAGACTGGCTCCTCAGGAAGCTGCCGTCGAGATGGGATGGGAGGGCTTGGGAGGGTCTGTTGCAGCAGGTTGGCAGGAAGGAGGCAAAAGCCAGAGCAGGCTGAGGGTGTGCAGCTGGTTAATGCAATATACACTATGTACAAACTGGTTAATCAGTCCACTCAGCTGGCAGCGTCCTCACCAGGTCCAGGCGCCTCAGCAGGGAGTCGGCACCAGTGGGGAAGGGCAGGCTCGTCCAACACCTTCTTGGCACTCAAGGGGAAAGGGGCAGGAAGTGCCGATGGCGCCTCCCAGTACAAAAAACGTGGAGAGAATTCTTTAAATAACGGCACTAAACTGAGACTGTCCCCGAGGAGCCTCCGAGAGCCTCGGGCTGGGAGGGATGCAGTTGCAGTCTCTGCAGCGGCTGGGGCATTAGCAGCAGCGTTTCTTTCGTTTACTGTTTTTCGTGAGCTTCACCACATCGTTCTGTTGCTGCTGCTGCTGTTTCGCCAAGTTGTCTTTCTTTGCTCGTAGAACCAGCTCTGTGATGCAGTTGAACATCTGGAGATGACAGGGCAAGGCCGACCTGAGACCTAGTGCAGAGCCCCAGCTGGCCAGCACAGGCCGCTTTTATTCCTCTATGAACTGTGTATGCCATGCCAGGGTGTCTCACTATGACTATGTAGCCCAACCTGGCCTAAACCCACAATTCTCTTCCCTCTGCCTCCCCAGTGCCAGGGTTCCAGGTGTGTACTGTGTGCCCTCAAAACACACTCCAGGACAGCGTTCTCAGCCTTCCTAATGCTGCGATCCTTTAGTACAGTTCCTCAGTTGTGCTGACCCCAACCGGAAAATTATTTTTATTGCTACTTCAGAACTGTAATTTTGCTACTGTTATGAGTCATATTGTAAATATCTGATATGCAGGATATATGATATGTGACCCCTGTGAAAGGGTCATTCGACCCCCAAAGAGGTCATGACCCACAGGTTGAGAATTGCTACTTTAGGAGGAGGTGGCGGACTTAAAAGGTGAAAAGAAAATGCTAAAAGACCACAGCTGTCTTGGGGAAGTCAATCCCTGGGGTATTCCCAGTCTCTTTTCCTGTATGTGGGTAAGTGCATGTGAGCGCAGTACCCATGGAAGCCAGAATCCACTCCTGTGAGCTGCCTTGCATGGGTGCTGGAAACTGAACTCAGGTCCTCTGGGAGAGCATAAAATCTTAATCACCGAGTCATCTTTTCAGTCCTTTTTAGTACAGAGGAAGAAGCAACCAGAACCTCTGAAAAGACAAGAGTATGTTGCTCTGCATATAGACGGAAGGACACACAGGCTGTCCACCTCACTGCAGCCAGGGCCAGACAACTCTGTCTCAAGCTGCCAGGACCAACGGTGCTAAGTCACAGCTACTAAGCCACAGGGATAAAAAAGCTCAACTAGGGGCTCAGACGTCCTCAAACCAGCGGTGAGATGACTCTGTGCTTAAGAACATGAACTGAGCCGGCGATGGTGGCGCACGCCTTTAATCCCAGCACTCGGGAGGCAGAGGCAGGTGGATCTCTATGAGTTCGAGACCAGCCTGGTCTACAGAGCTAGTTCCAGGACAGGCTCCAAAGCCACAGAGAAACCCTGTCTCGAAAAAACAAAAAACAAACAACAACAACAAAAAAAAAGAACATGAACTGTGCCACCATGCAGACCAGGGGTTGGTCACAGCACCCCCATTACAAGCTGGGCCCGACAAGCACCTCTCACTCCAGCCCCATGGGATCCGATACCCTCTTCTGGATCCCGCACATGCAAACGGCATGCACTTGCACACAAGTATTTTTTTTTACAAAGAGCTGAGCTCAACATCTCCATCTCCTGAGCAAGCACAGCTCGACTCACTTGATCCTCACAGCCTGGAGAACAACTCTCACTCAGGTGAACAAATGAATTACCAGGAGGGAAGTCCCACATGTGTCTGGCTCTGAGGCTCTGTGTTCTCATGCAGTGGGAACCCAACTTCCCTGGCACCTCTAAACTCCTCTGGGGCCAGTGAGTGGGCCAAGTGGGGCTTGTGCCAAAAGTTCTAGCTTTTCTCCCTCAGAATCACAACCGCTCTTCAAGGTGCTGCTACAAGTGAAGAAGAGGCCTCCAGGGTGGATGCTCTACCCACAGCCCCAGGAACAGGCGCCCACTTGTGCTCAGAGGCCAGGAAAGCAAGCAACAAGAGACAGGGAAGAGGTGGTAGTGATGGGCTCAAGGGAGGGCCAACAGGAAGCAGCTGGAATAGAAACTGCATGCCTTTGAGGTAGGAAAGATCTGGACTTGATGCCACCTCTCACTAGTTGATTCTTAAGGTTATTCAGTAAGAGGAACTTCAGTTTTCCTCCGTGAAATATGGGATCCTACCTCAGAGGGCAGCTGAGCTAAGAGCTGAGACTTTTAAAGGGCCTGCACAGCAGCAGCCAACAGTGGGCATTAAATAACTTGGTCACTCAGATGCCTGAGCAGGCCTGGCGTGGGAGTCTTGGCAGAGAGCTCATGGTCCTCACCTCCCCTAGCCCAGGGATCAGCACGGCTTACCTCTTCCACATTCAAATTCTCCTTGGCACTGGTCTCAAAGAGCTGGATCCCCATCTGCCCAGCAAATTTGTAGGCATCTTCCGTCTCCACCACCTTCCGCTCAGGGTCGTCATTCTTATTGCCCACTTTAAGACAAAGCACAGTCAGCCGCCTGCAAGAGCACCAGTTGTTGCTCTCCCACCGACCCTACCCTTGGGGTCCAGCCTCACCTAATATTCGGCACACATCGTCACAGTTCTGGTTGATTTCATGAAGCCATCGCTTGACATTGACAAAGGACTCAGCACTAGTGACGTCGTAAACCACAATGACCCCATGGGTCCCCCGATAATACCTGTAGGGCCAAGATGTGCATCAGGGTTTTGGCCCAGGACAGAGAAGCTGCTTCCCTGGGGCCTGCTTGGTATAGGACAGTGGCTGGGGAAGGTGAGGGTGCCTGGCGTTAGGGCAGCCC